ATAAATGAGTGAAAAAGAAGAGAGAGAACCCAGTCCAGGAGACTCAGAACAAGCAGAATTCCTTTATTGAGACGTGTTGGTTAATCTACAGTCATACAGCGTCTTCAAGGTGTCCAATGTGTCTGCAAGAGACTACTAGAGGTCCGCAGTCTGCAAGTTCTTTCACAAGTCTCACACAAGTCTCACACAAGTCTGAATTAAGACAAAGATTTCATGGCTATATTGTGTTCTTAGGAGGAGGGGATATAGCTAAACAAAGTATGCAAATTAAGAGTTGTGGTCGGCAGGGTAAACTGCTTTTTCAGGCCTAATCTCATCTTGTTCTGGAGACAGAAACCGCCTGACCATTTGATCGAAAAGAGAAAACAATAGACACCCCATGCTGTGAAACTGACAATTTGCATTACATTGGCTTAGCCTGTAATCAGAAAGACAAAAGGTTAATGTCCTTCCTAACTGGGATGTTAATGAAATTATATAATTAAAAACCAGAGAATATAACTTTTTAGTTATATGTAGATTATTGTTAATTTGAAATTAGATGATATAAATTTATATTTCCACAGGACTAAAGCAGAAAAAAAAATTATTGACATTATTGTATATATAAATGGGTTGTTTTTGTTCCAGTCACATACATCAAATGTGCAAATATTTCTTAAATATGGTACTGCTTATATAATTTTACCATCTGTACACCAATATAAGTAGTGAATGTGCGTGTCCGTGGGTGGGGCTGTGTCGGTGTGGTAATGTGGGCTGGTGTGGCTACAATGCCAGGGCTGATTTTTAGTCCCAGTCCGCCCCAGAAGCTCTTTCAGACTGCTGGTGTGTTATTATTTCAAGCTAACGCTGTGTTTGTAAAGCAAGTGTTTTGGACTGAAGTGTGTCGCAGCGGGAGAGAAGCTCATTAAGAGTTTACTGACCTCAGATCAGCTCAGTTTAAGCACATGTGAGTAAGCAGAGCCAGTAAAAGCACTGCGCTGTAAATCAGATTCAGGTCAGGGAACAGTTATGCGTTTCCTCTTTGAGCTCTCAGGCTGGATTTGACTTTTATTGCAGCTCTTAATGAGGAAGGTCAGCGAGGGTTGTGTAAAAACTTGATCCTGGACCTGCTGCTCTTTTAACCTCACAGTACGACGCTACTGTCAATCTAGCAGAAAATAACCTTTGGCCTGCTTTTAGAAATACAGTAGAGCTGAGAGTATATATGCTTATTTGTTAGTATTTCATTCTGTTATGGTCAGTGGCTCAGTGGTTAGCACTGTCGCCTCACAGCAAGAAGGTTGCTAGGTAGGGTCCCGGCTTGGTCAGTTGGCGTTTCTGTGTTCATGTTCTTCCCATGTTGGCGTGAGTTTCCTCCTGGTGCTCCAGTTTCCCCCACAATCCAAAGACATGCGCTATAGGTGAATTGGATGATCTAAATCGGCTCTAGTGTATGAGTGGGAATGAGTGTAAGAGTGTATTTGTGTGTTACGTGGGTCTGTGTTATTTAATCTATTTATTTATTGCCGGTTTGTGCTTGCGATCGAGTTCTAGGAGGAGTGTTTCACCCGGCTTATCCAGGATTGGATGATGCCCGTGACGTCACTGGGGATTTCCACTATATAAGGCTGACAGCAATGGCGTCTCTCTCTCTCTCTCGCTCTATCTTGCAGTCTCTCACTCTCCCTCAGCTCGGTGGTGGCTTGTGCTTAGGCGGTCTGGCTGGCGGTGCTCCGCAAGCCCGGCGATCATTCATCCAGATGCCACTCTATTTATTGTTTTGTTCATGTTAATCTTTTTTTTAATTCTAAATTCGTAATGTGTTAACTAGTTTGTTTATTTTGATACTTTGTTTTGTTGCAGGTAGGGGTTTATTTTTCATAGTCACGTTTTATTTAATTCAATTCAATTCAATTCAATTCAGCTTTATTTGTATAGCGCTTTTACAATGTAGATTGTGTCAAAGCAGCTTCACATAAATGGTCATAGTAATTGGAACAGTGTGGTTCAGGTTTTAGTGTTTAAGTTCAGTTCAGTTCAGTTTAGCTCAGTTCAGTGTGATTTAATCATTACTGAGAGTTCAAACACTGAAGAGCAAATTCATCGATGCGTAGCTCTACCAATCCTGAACCATGCGAGGCAGTGGCGACAGCGGAGAGGGAAAAAAAACTTCACCTGATGGGAGTGAAGAAAAAAAACCTTGAGAGAACCAGACTCAGTTGGGCACGACCATTTTAATTTCTCCGCTGGCCAAAAGTCTTGTGCAGAACTTCATTCGCCGTGGTTTATGCTGGAAGATGGCCTCAATGAAGACTCGTCTGTCCCTGGAGCGTCGCTGGAATCAGACTCATGATCTCCACTCCCCATGACCATCAGCGCAGCAGCAGCTCAGGATATGGCCTGGTCCCGGATATGGAATCCTTGGGATCATCACGTCGCTGGTCTTGGATCCAATCAGTGACTCCGCCTAATCTGAGGACCTCGGGATGAGTATCCCCAGGTGAAAATAGAGAATAAAGAGAATAATTAGCGTAGCTGCTGTTCATAGTGTATATAAGCAAGATGTAGAAGCCAGTGTGGAACCTGCTAGGTGATGCACTGAGTGTATGCTTTACTAAACAGATAGGTCTTTAATCTAGTTTTGAACTGGGAGAGTGTGTCTGAGCCTCGGACATTACCAGGAAGGCTATTCCAGAGTGTAGGAGCCATGAAAGAGAAGGCTCGACCTCCTTTACTTGATTTTGCTATTCTAGGTACTACCAGAAGCCCTGAATTTTGAGATCTTAAGGAGCGAGTTGGTTCGTAGCGAGACAGAAGGTTGGTTAGATAAACAGGAGCTAGATTATTTAGAGCTTTATAGGTGAGAAGTAATATTTTAAATTCAATACGAAATTTAACAGGCAGCCAGTGTAAGGAGGATAAAATTGGGGTTATATGATCATATTTTCTAGACCTGGTCAGAACTCTGGCTGCTGCATTTTGCACTAATTGAAGTTTGTTAATAGAGGATGCTGTGCAGCCAGCAAATAGAGCATTACAGTAATCCAGTCTCGAAGTCATAAAAGCATGGACTAGCTTTTCTGCATCTGAGATGGATAGCATATTTCGTAATTTAGCGATATTTCTCAGATGATTTATTTAGTTTAGTGAAGGTAAGCAGTGGCCCGGAAGACTCACCTATTTTTTATTCCTTTTCAAAGGAGTTTAGGTAATATCTGTCCATTTAAAACAGTTTAGTCAGAGACCTGTTTACCTTAGCTGCCCTCCCTGTCTACTTGATTTTTGTTAATGTTTTGTCTTTTGAAAACTTATGATTTATGGAAAATTAAACATATTGACGGAACGTCAGTTTAACCATTCAAACGTCTGTGTCTTCCATATGTTCGGCTCAAACCTTGATTGTTGTTATTCGAGCCAGTTTTGAGTTTGGGCCGTAACATATTGTTTTCCATTACTGGGTTGCAGCTGGAAGGGGATCCCCTGTTTAAAACATGTGCTGGAGTAGTTGGCGGTTCATTCTGCTGTGGCGACCCCTGATAAATAAAGGACTGAGCCTAAAGAATATGAATGAGTGATTGTTTTTATCCACTTAAATTTGTAAAAACAAGCTAACTTAATCTTTTTGTGTTGGGACAACATGAAGGACTTGTGTGGGACTCAGCATTACAGTGAGGTTCGCACATTGAGATATCGATGATGAAACGATTTATGGGTAATTATTTAAGTACGGGCACTTTTATGTCCTTTGATCATATATCCAAAAATATATATATATTATTTTTATTAAATTTCTCTTTTTTTGTCAAACTTAAAATAAAACCTACTTTTAAACAAAAATACTAGCTTTCTATTATATTTTTTCACATTATTCAACCTCCTTTTGTGTCAGAAATCACTGTTTTCACCTTGTCGCACACCCAGAGTTTTAAACTTCAACATTGATAATAACATTTTAAATATTGTTTATCTGGTAACTATTCATGTATCTTAATTAAGCACTTGTGAAATAATATATAGTTATAATAATATAGTTAATAATGTGAGACTATTATCAATATTAGTTTTTTATACAAAATATAGCTGTCGCACAGCATCAGCGTCATTTCCACCACAACACTGTAATGTCGCTTTAAAAAGTTTGTGTGAAAGATTATTTAGGCGGTTTCTGTGAAAATGAGTAGTGACATCTGAGAACATGTTCAAGATGGAGAGAATTTAAACTTTTATCACCAACACTTGAAGAAAAATCAAGGTAAATATTGCTTGATAAGGAAATACATTTACTCTACGTCATTTCCGAACATGTTGTACCTTCAAAGATGTTTTTAAAAACCAAACAAAATTAAGGTAAATAGGAGTGTTTCGTATACATGAAAGGCTAGTATCAATTCAAAGCTAATCGCTGAAGCTATTTTTCTTTTTTTCACAATAAACTGTTAAAATGTAATTTCCACCACCACACACATTTTAAACAAATATTTAAAAAGTTCTCATCACACATTAAAAGTGTATTCACAGTGTATAAGTTCATGCTCTGTTTAACATACACATTCAGTTGATTTATTTTTCTAATAAGCTCTTAACCAAATTAGTGTTAAATTTTAGAGTGTGACAGGTGTACAATTCAGCATACAACTAATTTAATTAATTAACAAATGTATAATTATTATATATAATGTGGAAAGATTGGTTACACTAGATACAAAGGTGCTCCTAGACAATTTTTGACTGCTATAATTTTTTTAAGCTTGAAGATGTGGTGGAATTGACATTTGTTCAGTTCACAATGAAATAAAAAGTTTATCTTCTTATCCAAGTTTGTCCTCTTACAGATCTTAAAACTAGACAAGTTGTTTAAACTTATGAGGCTGTGTTAGGTTCATTTTGAACAAGTTGTTTTGCTCAGCTTCACAAGGCTAAAAGTGCCCGTAGTTGAAGAAATACCCATATATAGTGCAGCGCTGGTCATTACTGTATATTACGTTCTGAAAGCGTCTCTTCCTGTCCCTCCGCAGACACCATGATCAAGCATCTGCAGTCCATGGACGCCTCCAGGAGCTTCTCAGAGTTTCGTCAGGAGTCCAGCATGCTCCACTCTCTGCAGCACCCCTGCATAGTGGCTCTGGTGGGCATCAGCATCCACCCACTCTGCTTCGCCCTGCAGCTGGCACCGCTAGGCAGCCTCAACACTGTACTGGAGGAGAGAGCCAAAGGTGAAGCAGATAGACTTGCAGGATATACAAATACATAAAAAAATTGTTTCAATTTGTCTAAATCCGGGGAGCCCAAACTTTTTTCTATGTAGGGCCAAAAACCAAACTTGATCGAGGGTGGTGGGCCAAAGCTAAATATACCAAACTGTATATCATTGAAGTTGCCATGGTAACTTCCTAATTTAATAATAATAAAAATAAATAGAAAACCATTCTTTAATTGTATTAATATATATATATATATATATATATATATATATATATATATATATATATATATATATATATAGATATCGATAACTGATAACTCTTCAGACTTGGAGGCCAATATGTATAGGCTGATAATTATAAATACTTAAAAATGTTATATTTTTATACAGAAAACTTTATAAAATTGCTCTTATGAACTGAATAGTCTATACTCAAAGCAAAAAAGCTATAAACTTAAAATTGCAAGGTGATTATAAAGATCTATATCCACGATGACACATAAATCAGCATGCAAAAAATTTATTTCATTTCTTTTCTGTTGCATAAAAATATTAGGTTAAATAACAAAATATGATTGAATTAACAAGCAAGTTAAATACATATTCAATAAAATGAAAATAAAAGAGCTAAGGACTGAAATCAGCTCAAATGTTCTTGAATAAAACGTGTACAGTGATGTACACATGTACAAATTCAGTGGATTCAGTGACCGGCACACCTCTCCCCATGTGTTTCTGTGAATGTTGTCTGTGTCTGTCTGTCTGTCTGTCTGTCTGTCTGTGTGTGTGAGTGTGTGAGTGTGTGTGTGAGTGTGTGCGTGCAGCCCTCACGCGCACTTGTTATAATCAATATAAATATATCCGATCAAACTGAATACAATCTTACATCAACAACACATGGCAAGTAACGCGTTTATAATAACAAAAAATTATATTAGATTACAAACAACCCAACGTGTTGTTTAGCACGTGTGCATCGCATCTGGAATGTTTACACATGTAATATTTTTCCTGAGGCGATTTAAAGCAAATACACAATGACAGTCAATCAAACATGTCTACAATGATAGGGAACATGTTTACTCACTGAGTTATTAACGCACAGCAATACCACATAAGGAAAGGACAGACTTTGAAGAAATAAACATTGTGAGGAGAGATTCATTATAGTGCACTGGACAAGTCTGAACAAGTTCCGCCTAATTTAGACATCGGATCGATAATGATAATCTTAAAAATAGCATTTATCGGCCGTTAACTATATGACCACAGATTTATCGTGCATCCTTAATGTATATATATATATATATATATATATATATATATATATATATATATATATATATATATACTTTATTTTTTATAAATCTACAAAAATGTCAACAATTCTGTGCTTTTTTTTGTCAATATGGAGTGCTGTGTCAACATTCATAAGAACATGAAATGATTTTAGCTAATGGCTGTAATATAAAAAAGAGTGAAACATTTAAGGGGATCTGAATTCCACCCATTCCGTACCCACTGTATATATATATATATATATATATATATATATTTTAACTATTTATACATTAATAATTTAGTGTAAAAAAGTTTCTATTGTGTGGCAAGTGTGTGTTTATAACCAGCGTCTAATCATAGACATTTATAAAATCTTTTTTTATAATCACACATGATAATAACAGTCTGCTGAAACACTTTGAATTTGTCATTGGGGGAAAGCCCCGCCCACTAGTTACCATCTTTCCCTCATTAGCATAAACATCCCTAAGTGGGAAGCAGTTAGAGTTTTGAATCTGCCACTATGCTGACACAAAGGCATTTGTAGCTCCGCCTTCTTTTTAAGACGACACAATCTCATTTGAATATAAAGCGACAGTCTCCAAAACGGCAAAGTTAGGATCAAAGCCTAAAAGGGTCAGTTTCAAAGAGTTAAAAAACATTATTTGAGTGGTATTGTGAGCTGGAAGACGACGCACTCTAGGGACATCAGAGACCTTTTTTACATCTTGTGAAAAGGGGCATATTAGGTCCTCTTTAGCTGCTTTTGTTTCCAAATGGATCTTTTCATCAATTTGTCCAGTGTAGTTCAGTCTTGTGTGTCTCGGGGCATTTGGAAAGCACTTCTGACAGCTTTTCTTTAGTTTGTTCATGTCTCTCCTGACCGTCGGCATCCTGGGACTTTCCTCCTAGGCAGATCTGAGGCTGATTTGTTCTCCAGCTCATGTTTGCTGAGTCTGCAAGAGTCTGATCCAGCAGAGCAGAGTGAGATCTGTTACTGCGTTTCTAATGGGATTTATGTTTCCACTGCATTAATGCAGCGTCACAATGGAGTTATGAGGTTTGGTTTATCCTGACTATTGCTCTACAGCAGAGTAGAAATAGTCTAGAAAACCAATCAATCAATTAATTAGTATTGTTGTTGTTTTATTATTATTATTATTATTATTATTATTATTATTATTATTATTAAAGTTGTCATTGTTATAATTTATATTTTAATTGTCTTGATGTTGTTAGAATTAATACTCTAATTTTATTTTTAATATTATTATTATTATTATATTATTATTATATTGTGTTATTAATATATAAGTAGTAGTATTTATTGTATTGTTGTATTTAATATAATTATATTAATTTAATTGTCATTATGTTGTTTTTATTATCATTTATATTTTAATTGTATTATAATTATTGTGTTATTAGTGTTGTTATAATTAATATTATAATTTAATTATTTTTATTATTTGTTATTATTATTATTATTATTATTATTATTATCATAGTTATCATTATTGAAGGTGAATATTTTTTTGGATAATAAATAATATTTTATATATTTAAATACAGTTAAAGTCAGAATTTTTACCCTATCTTTGCTTTTTTTCTGTAAAAAAAAAAAACATTTTTCAGTTGCTGTTTAACAGAACAAGGAAATTTTCAAAATTATTAGCCCCTTTAAGCTAATTTTTTTCGATAGTCTCCACAACAAACCATCATTGTACAATAACTTGCCTAATTACCCTAACCTGCCTAGTTAACCTAATTAACCTAGTTAAGCCTTTAAATGTCACTTTAAGCTGAGTAGAAGTGCCTTAAAAAATTCTAGTCGAATATTATTTACTGTCATCATGACAAAGATAAAATAAATCAGTTATTAAAGATGAGTTATTAAAACTATTATGTTTAGAAATGTGTTGAAAAAAAACAGGAATTGGGGAAAAAATAAACGGGTGAATAATTCAGGGGGGCTAATAATTCTGACTTCAACTGTATATGATTAATGTGATACGAGTAGCAGTGCGATACGGCTATATATCAGCACCAGTGCCGATATACAGCCCTATCGCACTGCTACAAGTGTGATATTGCGTTTATACAACAGTTCTTTGGCGTAATCTTGTATATAAAAAAGAAAAGCAAACACGGAGAGTCTCAAATATCCTTTTGTACGAGGAACAGCAGAAACCGTTAGCGTAATGTCTGAAGTGAAGACAAAACAGGTGATTTGCTGACATTAGGACTATAAAGCTGAACAGCATGAAATGCCATCAGTCTACAGAGGTCTCCCATTATTTCTTTGTTGCATCTGGAGATCACAAAAATGAACCCTGAAAAAGCCAGAGCAAAGCAAATACTACCAGGTTACTGTTGTGTTTGCGATAAGGAAAAATGCTAAACACATGCTGGCATTTCTTCTTTTTTTTTTACTGAACTAGTCTGCTGTACCGAAAACAGGAGATGCATTAGAAACAGATGGCCATCTATGGTTTTAAGACCTTAAGATTGATCTCACACTCAATAAACTAAAATTACCATGGTATAAAAACAGCACTACTACATACACATGAGAGAGATCGTTCAGATTCAAGAAGCAGACAGAACTGTTGTATGTATGTATGTATGAATACCGTATATACATTTAAAATGTAAAATATTCTGTTTATTTGATGTAAGCAGTGACCGAAAGTAATGTATTATTATCATTATTTTGATTAGTTTTTCTTCTTTGCGCCTTATTAAAGTAAAAAACGAGGCAAATGAGCTTTTTTACGTGGTCTTGGTTTTTTGAAGTCCGCTGTGGTTTATGGCAGAAAGAAAGGCACACAGGTTTCCTTTGAACAGAAATCAACAGGAGATTTTGTGTGTCTGGTTCTGCACGGACAGCTTGATCTCTGCTGTAATCTCTCAATAGAGGCCCTTTAATGAATCAGTGATTAACGCCACTGCTAATCCAATCATTATGCTAACAGCCTTTTAATGGGAGATATCGAGAGAAAACTCTCTCTGTAGATGTATTGTGTGTGTGTGTGTGTGTGTGTGTTTGGTGCATGCATGCATGAGTGTGAGCGTGCAATTGCATGTGTACCATTGTGTGTGTGTATCTGTATCGCTTTCCTCTTTCTGAGTGTATGTGTGTGCGCGCGTGTGTGCGCGCGTTTGTGTGCGCCTGTGTGCGCGTGTGTGTGCGCGTTTGTGTGTGCGCGCGTATGTGTGCATGTGTGTGTGTGTGGGCGTGTGTGTGCGCGTGTGTGCATGTGTGTGTGTGCGTTTGTGCCATTGTGTGTGTACCATTGTTTGTGTGTGTATCTGTGTCTCGTTCATCTTTCTGGGTGCGTGCGTGCGTGTGCACATGTGTGTGCACGTGCGTGTGTGCGTGCGTGCGTGCGTGCGTGCGTGCGTGCGCGTGTGTGTGTGTTTGTGCCATTGTGTGTGTACCATTGTTTGTGTGTGTGTGTGTGTGTGTGTGTGTGTGTGTGTGCGTGTGTGTGTTAGTGTGTGTGTGTATTTGTGTGAGTGCAAGTGTGTGTGTATCTGTCTCTTTCTGAGTATGTGTGTGTATGTTGCGTGTGTGTGTGTGTGCGTGCCATTGTGTGTCTACCTTTGTGAGATTGTGTGTGTGTGTGTGTGTGTGTGTATCTCTCTCTCTCTAAGTGTATGTGTGTGTCAGTGTGTATTTGTGGGAGTGCAACTAAGTGTGTGTGTCTATATCTCTCTCTGTGTTTATGTGTTTGTCCATGTGTGTGTCTCTGTGTAAGTATGTATATCTATGTAAGAGCATGTGTATGTGTCTGTCTCTTCCTGTGTATGTTTGTGTGTGTATTTGTGTGTGTGTATCTTAGCTACAAACTATGTCCTGCTCTTCTCATGCTTGCTCTGTGATGCCATGTCAGGCTCCTGAAACTGAAGTGTAATGTGGAAACGTGCCTCTTTTTTCCTTTGTGTTGTCAAGTCGAGCACTACAACTGCAGTCCAGGATTGATGTGGCTCACGTCGACGCACATGTCCATTTATAGAGCTGACCTAGAAAGACGTTTAACAGAAATGTGACGTGCGCTTTACTGTGTCACAAACCATGACTTCATGCTTCCGTTTCCTCACTCATGCTTTACTTCTGCTCTCGTATATTTTCTGTCAGTGTAAAGTCTGACAGCATTTCTTTTTTTTTTCTTTTGAAGAGTTGTGACTGGCCCTGGTTGTTGGCTGGTTGCTAAGGCTTATTTTTTTTAGGATGTACATGTTTCTGGGTGGTTGCTATGGTGTTTACTAGTAGTTGTTTGGGAATTCTGGATTGTTGCTAGGACAGTTAGTAACTGAAGTTGCCATTGTGTGACTATTGCTTCCTCTGAGTGGTACGGTATGGCTGTTTCCACTGTCAAAGGGTATCAAAAAGCAAACCGTACCATACCACTAGCATGACAAAAGGGTACCAAAAGGCAGAGCTAGATGCCATTGGTTTACTGAGAAACGTCACTAGCGCATGTACAAGCCAAGAGAATTAAAACAACCCTGCTGAAAAATCCAGCTTAAACCAGCCCAGGCTGGTTGGCTGGTTTTAGCTGGTCGACCAGGCTGGTTCTAGAGGGATTTTGGCCACTTCCAGGCTGGTTTCCAGCCATTTCCAGCCTGATCTTAGCTGGTCAGGCTGGGAGATGACCAGCTAAAACCAGCCAAAACCAGCTATATCCAGCTTAAATCAGTCAAGCTGGTTTTAGCTGGATTTGGCTGGTCATTTTCCAGCCTGACCAGCTAAGACCAGCTGGAAACCAGCCTGGAAATGGCTAAAACCTCTTTAAAACCAGACTGGTCAACCAGTTAAAACCAGCCAACCAGCCTAGGCTGGTTTAAGCTGGATTTTTTCAGCAGGGAAAGGAACTGCTATTTTTAAAAGCACAGCTGAGACATTACAATATAATAATATGGTTTATTGGTTGTGATATGGAATGGTTGGTGATATTAGCGTCCTGTTTGTGGCACATTACTATATGTGAGGGGGCAAACTTTTCAAAATGCGGGGTGACCATGGTGGCATTTTTGAAGTCGGCCATCATGGATCCAACTTTTGTTTTTTCAATAGGAAGAGGGTCATGTGACACATCAAACTTATTGAGAATTTGACAAGAAAAACAATGGTGTGCTCGGTTTATAACTTTATTCTTTCATGAGTTATTTACAAGTTTCTGACCACTTATAAAATGTGTTCAATGTGCTGCCCATTGTGTTGGATTGTCAATGCAAGCCTCTTCTCCCACTCTTCACTCACTGATAGCAACACCACAGGAGAAATGGCAGCACAGGCTTCCAGTATCCGTAGTTTCAGGTGCTGCACATCTTGCATCTTCACACCAGTGATTCTAAGTTGTTTCTTGTACAGTTCCCAGAACGGCTATACAAAATAAAAAATAAAATTTTGATCAAATTCATTTATCAGATTATTTCATAACCAGAAAAGCAAAGTGAAAAGCACAGCCTCCTTAAGGAAATTCACTTCACCTTCTCCATGGGGAATTGGTGCAGATTGACTGTATATGAACTCTCAGACTCCTGATCATCATTACACTAGATTGCTTTTAAATGAGGGTTGTGGTGTGTTTCAGGTGGATATGTTCTCGTATGGGATGGTTCTTTATGAGCTGTTGTCCGGACGCAGACCATGTATGGGTCAACACCAGCTGCAGATCGCTAAAAAACTCTCTAAAGGAGTCCGGCCCATGCTGGGAGCCCCAGAGGAGGTGCAGTTTCACTGTCTGCAGGCGCTGATGCTGGAGTGCTGGGACACCAAACCAGAGAAGGTACAACACCCTTCTGCCTGTTCTTAAAGGGATAGTAAACTCAAAAATCTGTTCTTAAAGAGATAGTACACCCAGAAATCTGTTTTTAAAGGGATAGTACAGCCATAAATATATTCTTGCAGGGATATTACACCAAGAAATCTTTTTAAAGAGATAGTACATGCATAAATGTTTTCTTAAACGGATAGTGCACCCCTACAGCTATACTTAAAGAGATAGTACTCCCATAACTATGTTTTTACAGGGATAATACACCCATAAATATGTTCTTACAGGGATAGTACACGCAGACATTTTTTAAAAGGGATAGTACACCCATAAATATTTCCACTCATAAATCTTCTTAAAGGCATAGTACACTCAGAAATCTGTTATTAAATAGATAACACACCCAGACATCTGTTCTTAAAGAGAAAGTTTTAAAGGGTTCGTGCACCCATAAATCTTATCTTAAAGGGATAGTATACCCAGTAATAGGTTCTTAAAGGGATAGTACACCCAGTAATAGGTTCTTAAAGGGATAGTACACCCAGAAATCTATTCTTAAAGGGATTGTGCACTAATAAATCTGCTCTTAAAGGTATAGTACACAAATAGATCTGTTTTTAAAGGGATAGTTCTTAAATGGATAGTGTGCTCAGAAATCTGTTGTTAAAAGGTATTAAACACAGAAATATGGCTTTAAAGGCATACTACACCCATAAATATGTTCTTAAAGCGAAAGCACATCCTTAAATCTACTTTTTAATGTATAGTCCACCCAGAAATCCTCTCTTAAGCCTGGTTTATACTTCTGCAACAAGTGATCGGTGTGACCCACGGTGCATGCAACACGCATAGTTGTGCATTTATACTTCTGCATGCTGTTTCTGTTGCTCTGCATTAACACTTCCAAAAAGTTAGTTGGCAGTGAGGTGTAAATGTTCCTCTGTGTCAAGTTTCTTCGCTGGTGTTTTGTTTTTTCTGAACGCTTCCTTAATGTACAAGTGGCTCAAACCAACTAATTTTGAGGCAGGAACCGGCGGACGTGCAACAACTGTAACCATGAGGTAAACACAAAACAAACTTTCCATCCCGAGCTCCTTCACGGGACTCCACACTTTAAACAATCGCTTACAAGTCTGGCTCGCGCGGCTCTCGGTCCCGCCCACAATCATCAGTGCTACCAAGCTGAACAATCGCAGAGCTTGCGCTACACGTCGTTGTGACATGTAGTTACATTTTTTGAGAGGTGCGCGTCAGCGACGGCCACGGTGAGGGCTTTGCATTCATACGCGCCGTAGCATATGCGTGCGATTGATGCAGAAGTATAAATCAGCCTTTAAGCACACCCAGAAATCCACTCTTAAGTGGATAGCACACCCAGAAATTAATTTAATTATTAAGGGTATAGTGCACTTATAAATATGTTGTTAAAGGGATAGTGCACCAATAAATCTGTTCTTAAAAGTACAGTGCACTCAGAAATCTGTTTTTAAAGGGATAGTGCGCTCAGAATTTTTTACTTAAAGGGATATTACATACAGAAATCTGTTCTTAAAAGGATAGTACACCCAGAAATCTATTCTTAAAGGAATAGTACACCTATAAATCCAAATCAAGTCAAGCCAAATCAAATATATGGATTATGCACCAATAAATCTGTTTTAATATTTATATTCTCTTAGCCTTTGATGTGTTGTTATTATAAACTGTTAAATTATTATTATATCACAGTTTTACCTGTATTTTTCTCAAACAAATAAATGCAAAAACTACAGCTTGATCACATCAACCCCATGTTGGTATCTATTAAAACACATGTACACCTGACCTGAGATCAGTCCATAATTTCTGCATGTGTGTGTCCAGCGTCCTCTTGCAGCTCCTCTGATGCGGCAGATGCAGGAGCCCAGTTTTGCCTGTCTGCGGTACCTGCTGTCCTGTCAGGATCACAGCCAGCTCTTCCTGTCCTCCCTGCAGGGCCACAGCGCCATCTTCTGGGATGGAGACCAAGACCAACGGTGCGTTCCTGGACAAACAGAATTTTATTACATTTCCTTAGGCTTTTTCAGTTCAGTTCATCTTTATTTGTAAAGCACTTTTACAATGTAGATTGTGTCAAAGCAGCTTAACGTAGAAGTTCTGGTAAATTGAAACTGTGTCAGTCCAGTTTTAGAGTTGAAGCTCAGTTTAGTTCAGTTCAGTGTGGTTTAATTTTCAATGTTGAAAGTCTGACAGGGCTTGAACCAGCAACTTTCTTGCTGTGAGGTGACAGTGCGACCCACTGTGCCACTGCGCCACAATTGCTGACGATTTTACAGCAAGAAGGTCACTGGTTCAAGTCCCAGCTGGGCCAGTTGGTTCTGTTCTCTCTTTGTTGAGGAGGGTTTCATCCAGGTGCTCCGGTTTCCCCCCATAATCCATAAACAAATGCGCTATAGGAGAACTGGGTGAACTAAATTTAGCTATAGTTTGTAAGGGCATCCGCTGTGTAAAAGATATGCTGGAATAGTTGGTGGTTCATTCCGCAGTGGTGACACCTGATAAATAAGGGACTAAGCCGAAGGAAAATGAATAAATGATTTAATAAGGTATTCTCTCCCAAATTTCGGAACAATTATAATGAATATTTTTTTTAATTATTTATTTTCATGTGTATTTTATTTCCTTTAAAGAGCCCATATTATACATGAAATAGGGTCATATTTTGGTTGTAAGGGTCTCCAACAACAGTCTAATATGCATGCAAGGTCAAAAAACACTTTCATGGTCTTATAATCTGCATTTATTTTTAACTAATTATCCCAGCGACTCCCGTATGAATCGTCCAGTGATTCATTTCTTCCCAAACCCCTCCTTAGCGCGAAGCTAATCTGCGCTGATTGGACCAATGACAGTCTGTTGCGATTGGTTGACACTGACGCTTTCAGCCACAGACAGAGTGAAATGCCCAGCAGCTAATCAACAATATAAAAGTACTCTCAGTTCATACACGCTCGATAGTGTAGGCGTGGAGTTTAGCTGCCAGTGGATGAATGTAAATACAGACGATGGACTTGAAAATACAGATGACTGACTATTTTATTGAGCAAAAACTCCCAAGAACTGGCGAGGGGATCTCCTAGCTTGTCACATTTTGCTCTTTTCACAGACTCACACACACACACACACACACACACACACAACACACATATATATTGCCCTCGTCCTCGCGCATGCGTCCACACACACACACACACATAGCCCTTGTCCTCGCGCACGCGCCCACACACACACGCACACACACTTATATTGCCCTCATTCTCGCGCATGCGTCCACACACACACTCACACACACACACATAAACCTCCTCCGGACGACAGCGCACACACACACACACACACACATTATACTCCACCACGGGAACATAAACAAAGCAGCACGCGTCGCGTTTTTAACGTGGTTTTGCACGCGATATGAGAATATAGCCAGTTAACCACATACAGTACACGCGGTTACAAGTAACAAATCACAACTAAATACATTTGCAAGCTAGAGTAAACGAGGCAACAACTTTAATCGCACGTACTTACACGTGAGAAATGGAGGAAGAAAGTGATCCATGTCCTGACATGTCCAGTCTTTACTGATCCTTCCTTTAACAAACGAAGTATTCTTTGTAGCATGTAGTTTCCAGTAGTTTCCACTTGCTTAAAGCTGGGCTTATGCTGAGGTTTCATCTTTGGGTAGAGACTCAATAATATCCATCTGCAGTGTGACTTCAATCGACCGGCATGTTTGTGTGCGTGTTGTTTGTGGGTGTGCGTGTGTTTGTGGGTGTGTGTGTGTGTGTGTCTGGGTTTCTGCATCAGAGGGCGGGGCCTCAGGTTTGAAATCTCCCGGGTTTGCGCGTGCACGTGAATAACTTGGTTTCGTTCGTACGTCATGGCAAAACACCTAATGACTCGGTATCAAGACGACTCGTTTGAAGCACTGAGTCGACTCTTTTATAGATGAATCAACAGTTTTAAACACTGTATTCTTACAGATTTAAGCCTTAGCTGGATACTTCACTTCACTTAGAGCTGTGTTACACAATACATGGAGGGGCATTTTCAAAAACCCATAATATGGGCTCTTAAAATGTTGACTAACATTACTATACAAAAGTTGACAGTACAATACATTTGGAACTTTTGACATAGAAATATTTCTTATAAAACACAGCAGAGAAACAATTACCCTATCCTTAACCAATAACCAACCTAAAGTTTTATGCATTTTCATGATATTAACTCTTCTATTGCAGTGTAAAATGAGTCGTGCCGCTCTATTCTGGACTAACTGTGATTTATCTAAGTCTTTACTTGATGCACTCGACCATACCATTGGACAGTAATCTACATAAGAAAGAACAATTGCCTGAACAATTTGAGAAATACAGTACTGTGGTAAAAATTCTACACATTTCTTAATAATTGATAAACCTCTCCCCATAACTATTACCATTTTATTGATCTGTTTTGACCACTTTAACCTAC